AGTGTATTGATACCCACATATCGTTCGGCACAAAAAGTCCCATGACAAAACTACATAATGAGAGCGTTCTGCCACGATGCAGGATGCCTGTATAAGACCAGGTATGCTCCATCCAGCGTTCATGGCACCACGGATGTCATTCAGTTTCATTTGCCATGGAACATGAGTGGCAATAGCTATAAAACGTTGAAGTGCCTGCAACTTTGGTGGTGGTCCTTGCAATAGCCAATTTTCCGCAATCACATCACTAGATGGCTGCTTTTCCGCAAAATGCAGCAAGAGAGCGGCAAAGCGAGAAAAAAGGTACTCACATTTTTGACGACTGGCTGCCATCAAAGCTATCATCAATCGTTCGCAAATAGGAAGCGGGCCTTCTTCAAAAAATATGTATTGAAATGTGGCATGATGTGCCCGCAAAACCTCTGGGTATATAGAGAGAATTTGGTAGTACTGTGGAACTTCACCCATTTTGAAAAATATCCGGTACAACAAGTCAGATCTTTCACTGAGTACGGACTTTGGAATAGTAAGGCTACAACGACACAATGCATCCCATACTGTTTGCCTCGATGCATGTCCCGCCTTCCCCCTCTCTGCATTTAACAGCTCCTTCTCCGCACCAGTGCTTCCGATTATCCGATTGTTCGAGCAGCCTCCGCCTCGTCGGCGGCTGAAGGACGGTATGGCCACAGACATTGTAGGATTGGCCGACAAGGACGTTGTCGCCAACGCCTCTGCTGCTGCTATCCCATCTTTTGCTTGCTGCAACTCCTCCATCACCTCCAGCAAACTCCCAGTCAACGACCGCGTCAAATTTGGAAGTACCGCCGCGGGAGAGGGCGCCGTAAACCACTGTATGCTATCTGTAGCCTCCGAAGAGGAAAATAGCGCATCTGTCAAACTTGCTGACGTCTGCACACCATTCAAGTAGTAAAGATAACCGATCTTTTCACCCTGTCTTCTCTCCTCATTCGCTACTCTTAGCGTAGGATTAAGAAAAGAAAGAAACTTCAACACTCCACAACATGCCTCAAAAGGACGTAACGATAGTCCCAATTCCCTCGCAATGACCAACTGAAAAGCTTTGGCAAGAGGCTCACTTGGGCACGAAAACGCTGTCCCCACGATAATCTGGAGCATCATCCGGGCTTCTTGAAGGCTTGAAACAGCGCATTCGTCCATAGAAACACCGTTACGGCGAGAAGGGTCACCAGTGATAGCACATGTGCCGTCTTCACTGCTATACACGGGGATATGAGCCGACTGGAAATGTAATACGTTTTCCGAAGGTGTTGAATGCCTACGAACCCCAAAATGTTCGGCGCGTCCAGAAACATCTACGCCGCTAGAAGAGGAGTACGGAAAACCACAATCGACCTCATCATTCGACACCGGAGAATTGAGAACTCCTCGCTTTCGATGCATGCCACTACCACCACCACTGACACCCCTGGCCTCTCCTTGCATTGACAATTCCAAGAACGCACACGCGTCCTGAAGGTACTGGCAAGCGCAATTCACAACACCATAAATCATCCCGTCAATATCTGATGTCCCTGTTGGGGAATGCATTAATTTGACAAGGGCCTCAGGGCACCGCAACAGCTCTTCCTTTGGTGAATACGTCCCTTTTACTCCACCGCTTTCTTTCTCTGTCAAGCATACCCGGAACAACACCGTCGGTGCAAGTTGACGGCACATTCCCTCCTCCGAGTGTCGCCGCGCTCCATCACGTCCAAGTTCATAGGCACGACAGATGATCTGAAAGATCCACAATCTGAGTTTCGCAAATGGTTCAAGTGATGGCTGGGCGCCACGCGACAGATCAGGCCATTCCCCCGCCGAGGCCAAAGAGGAATACATAAAAAAACAGCTGGTTATAGCAAGGGGGGGGGGAGTCACGTGTAACAGTAAACACTAATCCCATACAAACACCACGCATAAAAACACACACACACACAAAAAAAAAAAAAAAGCTCAAACTGAAAGCAAATCAACCATTTGAAAAGCAAACACACAAACTCAAGTATTAATCTAAAAACAAAAAAAGACGAGTTCCACACAAAAGGGCACCGTGTGAACTCACCACCAGCCCGCCGCCTGTCCCGCAGAGACATGAACATCCAAAATCCGTCCCACATGAAAGGTGTAGCAGGTTGTGTGGAAACAAACAAAAAAGTAGAAAAAGGATAAAAGCAAACAACAGCAATAAAAATAAAAAGATAACCGCCTGGGCTGCTGGCCCAATCCTAAAATTACCTCTATAAAAAAAATAGGACGGAAAAAAGAAAAGCAATAGAGAGCCAGTGGCCTCGCCACGTCCTCGATATGTTCTCCAATTATACACATTCGGAAGGCCACTGCCGTGACACGTTGCGGTCTATTCAAATTGGAGACATTTATTCCTTAGGAAATGGCAGACATCGGGGATCTCCAGCCAGAATAAACCGCCGCGAGGTGGGAATCAAAAGAGGGTGAGTGGGATGGTAAAATACAAGAAAAACATTCTTCTTACCGCTATCGGTTGTTTGGCTCCTTCAAACGCGGTCTTCCAATGGACCATAAGTTAGGAGGGAATCGTACAGAAATAACTTCGTCTTGTCAGAACATATTCATTTAATTGGTCAGTCTTCTCGCGGAAATTCTTTTCACAAGTTCCCAAGAAAAAGTCACAACAACATCGTGAATGGTCCCCACCCATCTCCTTTGAGGCCATTCGTCACTTGCGCGTTGGGGTCACTTCAGTTGCCCGCCGTAACTGCAAGCAGGTGGATACACAATTAATAAAAATCAGGCGCATCACACCTTCCATGGCGCAGTTCGGCGCTCAAAACTGCAGGAAAATTGCTTTCTGTGACGACAGCGGCGTACTTCATAGAGCCAATCCTAGCAAATTGTTCTTGGGCACTCCAAACATATCATTCATACTTTTATCGCTCCTCAAGCACACAACCTGCAGGTACAAGCAGTAAGGAATTAACCTCGCAGGCAATTCTTGGGACAAACAGATGGAAAGGTTGCAGAGAAAACACGCATCGACATGTAAGGGAAAAGGGAGCATTTGCGCACGCAGAAGCAAAGAGGGGTGCTGTAAAGATACTTTTCGCGGAAGAATTCCCTTCGCCGCCCAAAAATAAGTTTCTTCACATATAATCATATGATATAATTCGTAGCACTGCACACACACAAAAAATAATAATAATAATAATAATAATAATAATAATAATAATAATAAACCAGAGGAGTTCCGCAAAAACTTTTGGCACAAAAGTGGAACAATGGAAAAGAAGACAAACACACACAAAAAAAAAGATACGTGTCACAAAAATACGTAAAAAAAAAAAAAATGGTTCACATCTCAACATACACACACAGACACACGCAAAAAAAAAAAAAAGATCGAAAAAAAATTATAGTATGAGCATATCACAGACAAAACTTTGCCATGGTTTGAAGAATATATCCCTATTTTTCCGAAAGCCGATCTTTTTCACATTTATAAAACAAAGACCACATCTGTAAATTCGGCAAAACAATACATGTATATGAATATGAAAAACCATATAAATGTATGTGCATATTACCCTCACTGACCATGGAAGTACATGTCTCGAATTCAGCATATCCCGACAGTCTCCTGTTCGGATACTCATGTGACTCCCAAATTCTCCCTTACACTCCGAAAATTTGTAATAATACATTTCTTACGCCCAATTCGTCTCTGCAGCTTCGTGGAGACGCTGTGGATCCCACCCCAAGGCAAACCATGGATGAGCGATGATACCCTCTAATGTGATGCGTTTCTTCGGGTCCACCGTCAGCATCCGTGCAATCAGGTCCTTTACAGCCTCTGAAACGTGCCTCACCATCTGGTACTCACCGCGTTCAATCTTTGCAAGCAGTGCGTTCATATTGCGGTCCTCAAATGGCAGACGTCCGGCAACCATCACGTACAGCACGACGCCACAGCTCCATATGTCCGCCGAGAGTCCATTGTAGCCCCGCTCCATCAAAACCTCCGGTGCAACATAGTTGGGTGTTCCGCACACTGTTTGAAGCAGAAAGTCCTGTTGCAAGTTGCTGAGACCAAAATCAGAGATCTTAAGTGTTCCGTTCGCATCAAGTAGCAGGTTCTCTGGCTTCAGGTCGCGGTGGGCAAACCCCTTGCTGTGGCAGTAGTAAATCCCAGCAACAAGCTGATGGAAGTATTGCCTCGCTGTTGACTCATCCAAGCGCTTCAACTGCACAATCTTGTCAAACAGCTCACCACCCGGCACATACTCCAATATAAGGTAGTAGTGGTTATTGGATTCCATAACGTCGCGAAGTGCAACGATGTTTTCATGCCTCAGTGACCGCATAACAGCCACCTCCCGCAGCATCTGATCCTCCATATTTTCCTGCCGTAGGCGGCTC